CAGGAAGAAGAGGGGCAGCAGAGGTGTGGAATTCCTATCACCCGACGCCCAGGACATGCAGTTCCGGGCACTGGGTGGGTAGTTTTTTCTCTACATTTAGCTCTGCTTCGGGCAAGCAGAGCTAAATGTACAGCGGAAATGCCACCAATTGGTTTGTACAAGTGATTTCAGCGATGCTGCCGAGTTCACTTGTATGCAGTCTGCAGGTCTGTCCCCCCCGCCGGACGCCTCTCTCCTCACTGGCCGCCTCACTCTCCGCCATGGTTTTTGGGTCCCCCACTCTTCTGGGGGATCCGGGACCACAGCAAGGTAGTTCAGGATGGATAGCAGGGAGCAGAACATTCTCCTCTCTGCTCCGTGTAAACACTGAGGCGGGACAGCGGAACTCGCAGCCATCCTACCTCAGCTGTTACAGGACAGCCATCCCACCTCAGCTGTCACAGGACAGCCAGCACAGTACTGTGCTCAATCTCCTGTATTGGAGGTGACAGGTTCAATAAAGAGAACCTGTCACCTGTAAATGCTACCACACAGGGGATTATTACCTCCTGTGTGATAGCAATAAAGTTAAGTGAACAAAAATAAAATAAAAAAAATAATACAATAAGTAAAATATGTAAAAAAAATAAAAAAGTGATAAGGTAAAAAATAATAACATTAAAAAACTAAAAAAAGTTAAAGATAATAAGATCAATAAAAATGTAAAAAAGTAAAACCAACCTTGCCGCCCCTGCCATTTTGTTGCCATTCTCCACTGGGGGATTGGCAGGGAGAGGGGTGCACTGAGGAACCTGGCCTTCGGGCCGCAGAGAGAGTAAATCCGGCCCTGTCTGTCGTCGCCCCCCCCCCCAGTCCTTATATTTAAACAGTTCTACCCCACAGCACAGCTCGGCCTGGCAGAGCAGGGGACATACTTTTACTTTGCTACAAGTGACACTTACAAGTCTTGCCTATAAATTAACAGTGAAGGAAAAGCAGCAGACTGATCAGTAGACTTTATCTTTTTGTATATGGCTCTCTACTCCCATCAGCATGTTCCTTGCTAGCACATGAGCAGTGTAGCACAACTGATTGGTCTATTGTGCTGCTTTTTTCTCTCCCAGTCTAAGCGTTGCTGTATAGCAGCCAAATTCAGGTGCTACATTACAAAATATTTCACCTAGTTTACTCACCTGGCCTCCTCTGCCGCTGGACTGTCCGGAAGTGAAGTGATGTCACTTTCGGAGGTCAGAGATCAGATTAAAAGCTGTGCTGATGGGGCCCCAGCCTGCTCCGATGCCTGTATAAGTAATGCTGGGGCCCGGCGCTGCTACGGCCGGCCTCCTCCTGCGCTGCGGGGGTCCGGTCGCCTCCTCGCTTCTCACCGGCGGCTTATACTCATGTAAGGGGCCCAGACGGGCCCCTAAGGCTGCCCGGGCCCCTTACATGAGTATCGGCGGTACCCCTCTAACGGCGGCCCTGCTTGTAGTTCCCCAACAGCTGCAGTGCCAAGGTTGCCTACACCTGGACTGTCATAGGGGAGCTTTTAGATGTACTTTAAAATAATTTTGGGTGGACTTACCCTTTAGATAGACTTCTTAGGGTGCGCCTGTGACCTGACACTTTAGAATATCAGAATACTGGTATACTAACACTTTGATCATTAGATAATATACGGATTAGCACCAAGACTATAGCAAACACCAGTCTACAGAAAACCTGATTCTTTTGAAACGATGTATTTGCAAAGATTAAACACCGTTTTTCTTTTTGTTATGTCCCAGGATAATCTTGAAGTTCCCTAGTAGGATGTTATCCTGACCTACTGCACATGCCCAACCTCTTACAAGACTGGGTAGCTGTTCCATGGGGGCTGATGGCACTGACCAGAAGATCAGGATGCTGAACATACAGAACGCCGCTTGGGGCAGCCGACAGGATTGGTACCAAGACAGTCTAGTGACCGGGCAGCCCAGTACAGGTACTTTTTTTTGTAAATGGCTGGTTGTTTGCTGAGATATTTCGATGAAATTAGATACCCTAGTCTGTTATTCTGCATTTTTTTTAAAGAAGATGCTAGCTTAATGTCCTATAAATAAAGATAATGCATAGTGTAACAGTGTGTGTCTGCTCCTGGGTAACACTGTGTCACAATGCAGTCAGTAAGCTGATAAACTTGTAGAGGCTGGAGTCCAAAAAGTCCTTAGCAGGAAATAACATTTTCTCAGGTCTCACTATACCTCTAGTGCAGCAGCCTGGGAGGTCTGTGTTTCACAGTCTCTCTCTTCCCAGTGGCATGTTAGCTGCATCTCCTTTTAAAACTTTCTGTCCACACCCTGTTTAAGTGAGATAACCGATTTTGTAACTGACCGCCTGTTTCAACTTATTGCTAACATTGTAGCCACCAATTAGCTCACCTGGTGGCCAGTACAATCTGTCACACATAGTAATTTCTAAGTGTTTTTAGATGACCATTAAAGAGATTAGCTTGTTGTCAACATTGGTATCCATGTCTATAAATGTTTTCAAGATCTTGTTTCTATGTGTGGCAACCCCTTACCCATAGATGGTTGAGCAGTATCCCCAGACAGCTCAGTGGGCTAGCATTTCAATTCTTGACTGATTGCGGGGTAGATGAAAATTTATTGTAAGTCATATTAGTACATTTAAATGGTTTATTCAGCATGATAATCTCAGGAGAGAGGGTTAGGGCACATACCCGAAAACAGGCAATAATACAACTCCAAACTTCTAGTACAGTAGTAGGCGCTTTAAGAGCAGCCAAGCAAAACCGTATGCAATCAATAACAGGCACCTTGTCGTATCTGCAATCAAAAGTCTACTGGAAACAGCTTCTACCCAGCTCTCCAGGACACTCTTCAGCACAGAAACCTCTTCCTAGGATGCTTCATACAGGCACCAATTTTTATGTTCTGCTTCCTCTGCATGTACCCTCCATTAGGACAGCAAAAATCCTTCAGGCTCCCAAACACAGGCCACCTTCAGTTTCCCTATTCCTAAGCTCAGGCCCTTCTTTCAGTAACTCTCCCCAGACAGCAGGCAACAACTAGGCTCATCTTACATTAGCATCCTCCGCAGGCAGCAACCTGGGAGAGGAGACCTTTCTGGAACGTTGCCCAAAATATTTATTCCCTTCCTCAGCATGCATTACAGGCAATATACCTCCTTGTGACTGGCCAAAGTGAAATAGATATTCATAACTCAGAAAATTGTTTCTTCTTGCTCTATCTGCTGTGGAACACACCCAGCAACAGTACACAATATTTTCAAAACCCAATGAACCCAATTCTGAAGGAATGAACAAAGCATGCCAAGGCATAATAAACAATAGCAGGTGGGGCATATATGAGGGTTGACAGTGAGATTTCAGGTGATTTATTGTCTCAGTGAAGGCAAGAACTCAGATTCAGAAAAAAACCTTTTTGCGGGTGGTGTTACCTTAGGCCTCATTCACACAAGAAAAGGCCGGCACGTACTGCTCCGTGCAAATCTGTATCGGGCAGCTCCCGGGAAGGACAGGTGCTGCATGTGATTAGTAAGCAGCCCCTGTCCTTCTCTATGGGAGTACACGGCCATACACCGCCCTATGCTCACCTTAAGTGCAGGTCCGTACAGGTGCGGGTGTCCCAGCTCGGGCGCAGACAGGATCCATCCTGTCAGCGTACGAGTACGCTCACCCGCACGGACGTGCAGGGCGGGTGAGCGTAGGACGGTGTACGGCCGCCTACTCCCATAGAGAAGGACAGGGGCTGCGTACTAATCACACGGCTTCTCTTCCAGCTGGATTCTCTTCATACCACGTATAAGTGCCATAGCCCAAGTCATTCTTTTGGGTAGCCATACACATGGAGCCCTCCAGCAGTCCCCTGGAGTACAACTTGCCCATAGGAATCAATGGACACACGTGCAGTATGAAAGGGCCAGGAACACATTGAAAAAAAGATTGCTGAATCAAGGAGGAAGGTAAATATTATACCAGTTTGGCTGTATTCATGGAATGGGGGATTTGTGAAAGGCCAACTTCACTAGAGATGAGGTTATTCTTTAAAATCATACTTATTTCACTATTCCAACCTTTGTTCTGTTGCTACAAATTCAATACATCATGACCTACGCTATTTTGAATATATGACAGGCATGGTCAAAGCAGCCGCAAAATGTCAGACCCAGCTCTAGGCTTTGGAACTCAACTCTTATAATTTCATCTCCACTCCAGCAACTTAGCTCCAGTTCCTCAACTTATCTAAAAAATGTTATTAAAGCAATCGGAGTTAGAGCCTTGGCAATAATAACATATACCACTGTTTGATCTGGAATGAAAACTGAATATATCTAAATACCAGGCAACAGAACCTATATATCCTAGACCAGGCCTTCTTAAACTTTCTCCACTCGTGACCCCTTTTTGGCCGAGGACATTTTTAAGGGATCTCAACGTCGGTCGGTGTCTCCTCCCTCCCCTAGCGTAAGTCGGTGTCTCTTTCTCTCTCCCCCCCCCCAGCTCCCTCCACCTCCAGCACCAGTCAGTGTCTCTCTCCTCTTACTCCCTCCACCTCCAGCACCAGTCAGTGTCTCTCTCCTCTTACTCCCTCCACCTCCAGCACCAGTCAGTGTCTCTCTCCTCTTCTCTCCCTTCCCCAGCGCCAGTCAGTGTCTCTCTCCTCTATAAAACAATCTAGCTTGAAGCCCAGGCCGCCTGGGCCCCTCACACAAGTACGGGCCATACCCCCCTGATGGCGGTCCTGGCCGAGGACTCGGATCGCGACCCCCCTGTTCACTTGCGGGACCCCATATAGGGTCGCGACCCACACTTTAAGAAGCACTGTCCTAGACTACCAAGAAATGGGCCTTGAATATAATTTGCTACCAGGTAATAATCACGGGAGCAAGCTTGGAGCGGTGACTACATTCCAACACACACAGGGACAATGGGGAATAAAAGTAGCCACCCTCCAGAAGGAAGGACAGTGTCAGCACCAATTCAGAGATGATTTGAGGATCTACAGCCGAGTGATACACAAATAAGATACATTTTTGTTAATAGTTAAGGTACTTGAACGCATTTTTAAGATTTAACTCCTGAGTTTAGTGTCACTTTAAATAGTTCTTATTATTAGTGGATGTGCACCAAGACCCGGATCTCAATAACAGAGTATGGTACTATCAGAAAATTGACATGATAATCAAGTGCTACATATAATAAGGCTAATTTGTCTCATGTGTTCACATATTGACCACATCCATAAGGGCTTGTTCACACAATGGTCGTTGAACTGTGTTTTTCTGCACACCGCCGCACTTGTATGATGTGAACAGAAAACAATTGTTTTCTATGTGCCCTATTTACACCATACATGTGTGGTGGTGTGCAAGAAAAATCCAGCTGAACGGACATGCTGTGAACAAGCCCTCATAGATGGAGAAGTCTCAAGCAAATTAAGGACCACTGTATGAATTATGCCAAATAGTAAATCTCAATCCTGTGACCAAACACGCTGCTTTTTTCTAACTGTGCTGAGTCAGTCAACGTTTTCAGACGGTGACAGTACTCTGTTATTGAGATCTGGGTCTCGGTTCATACCACTGCTACATTGAGCTGTGGTTGAAGCAGGAAACAGCCTGTGAGCTCAGCTGTCTGCAGACCTGCACATGTTGTGCACATTGCCTGAACCCGTCTTTCTATCTAAGAACATTTTATCTATGTAGTGAGGATTTATTTATTTTTGCTTTTAATTTTTTTTTCACCTTCAAATAATGAGTTTCAGCTAGGCAAAACATTTGCACATTTGTTTACATGATCTGCAAAAACAGGTCAGACGAAACTTTGCGGTATGACCTAACACATTTCGAAAAATATTCACAGTTTTTTTTTATATTCTGTATTTTGTATTAGAGGTGATACTCTATCTAACACAGTAAATGTTGGTTTCTGCCACTAGGAATACCTGTAGTACTTGTAGGCCTTATGCACATGGGCTTCAAAATGGTGCTTTTGTCAAATGCTCTTCACACTTGCTATGTGCCCCCTGGAGCACTCAGCTGGAAACAGGATACTGAACTGAATGTCTCAGTGCACACAAGCAGCTACATTTAGCTTTTTGCTTTGCTTTCCATTGCAAAAAGTCAAAATGAAGTTGGGGCATGCAATGTTCAGACTGTAGTTCATGCTTCATACTAATTGACTAACACTTCTTCCACTGACATGCCTAAAATGGATAGGGCACTTTAACATCCATCTCTGAGCAAACAAAAAACTTACCCTTGCAGTGGGTCTACCCCCCACACTGCAAAGGTTAAGTGCTCATATTTTACCTACCTGATACTCTGCCCCACCAGCTCCCCCCAGGCTGCTAGACTGGCAGTCTACAGATTGCTGATGTCATCATGTCTTTTGTAGGTCCATTAACAAATGCAGACACCACATCTATAGACTTGTAAGCCACAATGTAATACATTCTTGTTCTTGGGTTTAGATACACTTTAAAGGGAACACCTAAAGATGGAAATATGGGCTTTCATTTTGTGATTTTTTTAACCTGGCATCACTATCTAGCCTGTTGCAAGAATGCAGACAGTGATGTTGGAAAAGTATAAACTGTTTTGCATGCCCGAGCCTGTTCATTGACTAGGTAATAAAGCAAGGTAGATGGCCATGGACCATGCACCATTAAAAACAATTGAGCAATGACAGCTTCCATTTCTCTATCCTCACAGGCCTTAGATGTTTGCTTTATTATCTCAGCAACACTTTTGATTATATGGTCAATTGAATGGCATGGCAGTTTTGTTCAGAGGCAATGGCAGCATAGACTTAAAGCAGGCCTTTACATATTTGTTTAAAGCTGAACTCTAGATATGAATGATTTTGCATGCTTACATTGGTTCTGCTTAGCCCAATGTAAGTATGGATATATCATACCTGATCGATAAGGTAAAGCACTGTAGTAGCCGAAGCTACGATAGTGCCGGACACGATCTTTTAGGTCCTGATCCTGCAGTTTCCCAAGCATTTTTCCCTCTGCTGTGAAAGCAGGGTTTTCTGCTCAGTATAGTAGCCATTCACAGAATGCCGAGTACTTGCATCAATGGATGCAAGGTGTTCTCTGATTAGACAAAGGGTAGATTGTGATATTACTACCCTTTATTTAGTTAGAGAACTCCTTGAATCTGGAGTTCAATACTTCCCAGTTGACCCAGACGATGTAGACTTTTGACTATGGCTTGGATTTTCCAAGACAGTGACACATAACAGGCAACTAGCATTTTAAGAATAAGTATAGTAGTACATACTTCTCTCAAGGATAGGTTTATTATAGGACAGTGAGGGACTCGAGGACCGAAATTAGAGCTAAAAGCCTGAGTTGGACTTTTAATTCTAACTCTCAATTTCAGAAACTCAACAGTAAATTTCATATTTACATCCAGTTGCCTTGGTGTCATGCTAGGAATTTATGAATAGCTCTTGCTAAGAAAAAACATTTGTTATATGACTCAATAAAACCCCAAAGCACAATTGAACCTTCAGTTTAAATCAGCGAAATACATTCCAGGTGCATCAAAACAAATGGTGTGCAGTAGAACAGCCTGTCCTCTGGCAGCATTTTACACTATCGAATGCTTGCTCTCTGTGGGGAAGCAGTGATCTCTTGACAGAGGTCCGACATGGACCCTGCTGAGTCAGAGCTTTCCAATCAGCATGCAGCATGAGCTTTGCTGGTTGCAGGGCTATAGGTCTGACTTACTATGAGGCATTGGACCTCTGCAAAGAGACCACTGGTTCCACACAGAGAGATTGTGTCCCACTCTGCAGCTGCTGGCAGGGGGAAAGGCTTCTCAACTAAGGCTGTGGGTCCTATAGAAAGAAAAGGAACTGTAAGATATTTAACACCTTTTGTTTTGAAGGATTTGAAGCATAAACTGTTGGCATCGCAGAGCAATCAATCAAATTCAGCATTAGGAAATGACAGAATGGAGAATGAAAAACAATATCTACTATTAGCATAGGAAGAACTTCTTTCAGACACCCAAATTATGTATAACAAATCTCAAGTAAGAATGTGTCTCCGGGAACATTTGTCATAGATGGCCCATAGCAACCATCCAGTTTCTTCCATTGACTGTCCTACTCGGCTCAATGATAGAGAAAGGGGGAATTGATTGGTGAATATGGTAGACTGTCTAAGTCAAACCCTCACATTTTTGTAATAAATAGGGCCCAGTGTATAAAGTATTTTGTTGACTTTGTCAGTGGAGCAGCTCCACCCATGCGTGAATAGTTAAATCTCATCTAGGTCAGTAAGGGGTCACGCAGCGCTGTGTGGTCAGCAGGGATGACTGTTGATTGACTGGTTTTAACACCAGACATGACTGCAGCTTGTAGCATTCCATGTTGGCAAGTGACTTACGCCCAAAGAACTTTGTGTCCATCATGACACTAGTGTTGGAGGCACTGAATGCCCTACAGCCTCTGATAACTATAGCAACATGTACAGCTTCCAGCAGCTATCACTGCCAGTGGGTTTGTGTTATAGAATAATATGTCTGCTCCCAGCACGCTTCAGCCATGAGGGCTCGTCGCTTGGGGTTATCACAACCTGTTCTGTGCAAGTAGAACAGCTTGTAGCATCCTGTTGGTGTCTGCCACAAAGCCCAAGGGCTTGAAGCCTGCACTACATTCCACGGAGAGGTAATTATGAATGTAGATACCATGGATATCGGCTAGACTCGGCCCTTTTGTTTTTTAGAAATTGTATACAAAATATTGCGATCATTTGTTGGTCTCTGAGGACAGACTGGTAAGATTTGAAGGTATCCATGGAAATTAGATGACAATTGATGAATGTAATTTACAAGGTTGTTTCAGTAAAAAGACAGAAAGGGCACTTGGCCCGGGCCTGAAATTTGTGTACATTTTTGAACATTTCAGTTAAAGTGGGTGACACCACTATTCAGCTCTAATGTCCAATCATTTCATTATCTTTAGGGGGGAAACTGGACATGTAAAAAGATTTGCAGGTAGTGTTAAATGCTAGTTTAAACAAATATACATTGCCTAGAAAAGGTTTTCTTTTTTTTTGCCCAAACACTTACAATCATCATGCTTCGGAACAGCTCCAACTCCTGTCCAATACAAGACCCTTGGGACAGAGCAGTCTCCAGCAGCTGTCCATCTACTAGCTTGGAGAAGGGAAGAGGGAGAAGTGGGGAGCGGAGAGAAGGGCAGTGACCGGCCTTGCTGTGGCTCTGTTTGTGGGGACACACCGCTTACTATCACACACAAAGGTGGCTCCATAGGACCCTCCAAGGGAAAGAGCCATCCTATAACAGGATATCGGGGCCACTTTTAAACATTAAGAAGCATCATCCATTGTAAGTGATTTCATCAGCATTTGAAATAGCTTAAAAACCTTTTGATTTTAATATGACTTTAAGTCTTATGTGAGTACTTTGTACGTTTTTCTAAAGGAAAACAAACAATTCCAGCTCTACAGATCAATTTTTCTGGCAACGTCTACAAAAGATCAGTCTTTCCACAGTTTATGATGCCTATTCTTTGTTCGGACCAGTTTTCTAGTGTCTATGTAGCCAAATCCCTGAAAATCAGTAGGGAAAAATCCATCCAGGGTAAATGACCATTTACACAAAGCAGGACTTGCCTCTGGGCATTGGGGAAGACCTAAACACATAAAAGGTTCCCTGACCTGACAGTCATATTGGATGAATGTTCTCTTGTGTCTGTAGTTAATTGCAATTGCCTTGTACGATAAACAATTGTCAATACTGGTACTCGTCAATGATGTTGTGATTGTAGCTTGGTTTGTCAAATTTTTGTTGAAAGTTCTAGAATTTAGGCATTACATATCCACAGTGCTGGCCAATGTCTTCAGTTCACCATACTCAGTTATCTGCGTCCGCTGGGATATCTGTCTATGAACAAGTCTATTTACCACCAGAGCTGTAGCAAATAATATAGTAGACAAGTATAAAGCCCATAGGCACTAGCCTTGTAGGCATGATTCAACAATATTTAGGCAGCATTGTCCCTAAATATTGAATATTTGGCTGGCCAAGCATTTCTCTATAACCTATGATCAGTTAAGAGGTGAGGCTCTCATAGATACATCCTGACATTGGCTTTTCAGAGGAACACAGCAGCAGTCAGTCAAGCATTCAAACCACTGAAGAGCTTAGAAGCAGTTTACGTTTGCAAAGCATGTGTACTGCTGTCTGGGAATTCGACTTAAATCCCCTTCCAGATGCGTCCTTAACTCCAGCTTTGCTTGGCTATCAAATACAATAGAAGAAAAACTAAGAAAGCACTAATCTAAAGACCTGGAATGTGGTTCCATGACACTCTTCTCCTTCACTCATATGAGCCCTGAAGAAGGGAGAGTCCAATCCCCTGAAACACCTCGGCTGTATCGCATAACATTTACAAATAAAGTCTAGAACCAATACTTTTCTGGTGGATGGCTTTTCGCTCCAGTTGCTCCTCATTGCACACAGAAACCATTAGTCTAAAGAACCAACATTTGGTCCAGTACCTCTAGCAGTTGGGCAGCCCTTGACCCACATATGGTCCTAAATAACTTCCAGTGGAGTACCCCAAAGTCGGAGCTCTGAGACTCTAAAACTATTTCCAGAATTCACCCAGCTACAGACACAAACATTTTATAAGTCTCTTTTTTAGCATCCTGGTCAGGATCCCCAGTGGAGGAAACTCCAGCCATTTGGAGTGCAATGATCACTTTATTAGTGTAGGACATAAAAACAAACCAACGCATTTTGGGAATATATTGCTCCCCCTTCATCAGGACTGCTTTGGTACTTTTAGGAATGTTGGTCTCATAGGCACTGCAGTCTGTGTCCTAATATGATAAAATTGCTTTGGAGTGCTGTTGTATATGCAGTGGCACAACAGGCATTCTGGAACACTGTTATCATAATAGATATTTGAAGACTTTCTGTTCACACATGGTTTTCCTCAGCTATCTCCACATTTTTGTAAAGAAAGTTGCATTTTCCTGTAGATTAAAATTGAAATCCCACTTTCCAACATGATACATTTTAATCCTGATGTTTTTTTCTCTTCAGATAGCTGTCAGCAGCTGGACAACAGCCTAGACTCAGAACATCAGACTGGGGCAGTGAATGATGACCTGGATGACTCCCAGATCCGACTACAGTTGAAACGTAAACTCCAACGCAACCGCACATCTTTCACTCAGGAGCAGATTGAGGCACTAGAAAAAGGTCAGTAAGGGGATCTCAGCTGCCCTGAGGTCTCCAAAAACTGTTTCTTATTATCCTGCTTCAAATTCGGTCATCTAAGGTGACTTATATACATAGTTAACTAGGTTGAGAAAAAATAGACATTTAACAATGCTTTATTTACTTCCTGACCTCCAAAGGAGATTAGCTTCCTGGATCAAAATATGACCATAATATTGTGCTTTAACTGTAAATAGCAATAGTTTAAAAAAAAAAAAACACACTGTCATTTTTTGAAGACAAACTCCACACATTCCACATGTTCTTCCAGTGTTGTGTTCAAAATAGGTTCTGGTCCTCTCTTCAGACTGCACTGCAGTTAAGTGGTGAAGCCTAGTCTAGGATCCCCATCCCTTTAGCCTGTGTTTGGATAGTAGAGGAGCAGCAGGACACTGAGGAGTTCATATCTGTGCTCTGCTCTCCTGTATGTATGGTTCTGGGAGCACTGTGCCAAGCAGTGGAGCCTTAATTGCCTCACAGTGCTGCCCCACCCTCTGCCAATCTTTTGGAAGATAAAAGTTTCTTCATAAGTGCGTTTCAACCATTTATCTAACTGTGTGTTGGTGGTTAGATTTAAATACCTGCCAGAGAATACAGTATATCTCCAGACAAGGACTTTGGAGAAGGAAGGTATTCGAATTCACATTAGATACTGTATACATTTTGTCATCTATAATTGGCAGTCTGGAATTACATGTTTGCTGTCCCTGGAAATAATAAATAACTGATGTACTTTTTATTTTTGGCTATCCTTCTACCCCACCATCATGGCTAGTTTGTAGAAATGTCTAGAAGCCAATATGTCCTTTATTAGAACCCTAAAAGATCAATTTTTAAGGGTTGGTCCACCCAATACAATCGATGGTCCCTATCTCACGTGCATACATACAGGGACAATTTGGAGAGGAGCCAATTAACCTTCCAGCATGTCTTTGGCGTGTGGCTGGAAACCGGAGTACCCAGAGGAAACCCACACAACGATCATCTCTGGTAGATGTTGTAGGCCTAAACCATCTTACAATTTCCTATTTCTCTTGGGGACTCTTTTGGTGAGTTATCTGCTCTTGAGTACCTGCAACCTGATGTGGTTATTCCCTGACACATGTTTAATTTACTTCACAGTATAATATGTAGAATGCAACAAGGGGAGGTAGGCGAGAACATCCAAAATTCTAAGGTAGTCAGGAGCAGTTAGTCATGATTTATAGCAAGGATCTCTTACTATTGACTCCATTAGGTTCACCTACAACTTAAATATTACCTCTGGATGGACTGGCCCTTTAACCCCTTCCTTCTGTCTATAAGGCAACTGTATATTTAATTGCAAATGAGCCTTACATTACTAATTGTCCTCTGACAGCATGGCGGTGCACACAAAAACAGCAGACCCCTAACATTGTTTTTTTTCCACAGTAAATTAACTATTTATTATCTGCAAGACATTTGCATGTTCTCCCTGTGCTTGTGTGAGTTTTCTCCGGGTACTCCGGTTTCCGCCCACACCCCAAGACATGCTGGAAGGTTAATTGGCTCCTCTCTAAATTGTCCCTGTATGTATGCATGTGAGATAGGGACCTTAAATTGTAAGCTCCTTCAGGCAGGGACTGATGTGAATGTACACAATGTAATGTATTCCTTTCCCATTGCACTGCCAGAACGGAATCCCGTGGTAATATAATGGATGGTGTTGAATGACATGTGGATGGCATTGCACAAATTCAAATGTAGACGTAGTCACTCGCACACACGTCACTGTGCTTCTTGCCTGATGAAGGGACCATGCTAGGTTCCGAAGCGTTGCTTTGTACTTGTGATGCCACGTGTATCTGATGCCAATAAAAGGACGGATTGATGCATCGGAACTAGGTGTGCGAGTGACTACTTCTTCTACATGTACACTATGTAAAGCGATGCGTAAAATTGTCGGCGCTATATAAATACCTGTAGTAAATATTAACTGAATGAATAATTGGCCTACCCCACCTTCCCCCTGTATGTCATATTACTTACACTGAAGGTGTTCTTTAAACATCTTTTTACATTTTAATTTATCAAGCATGGTGGATACTCATCCTTAGACAGGCATTTTATTAAGTCTGAACATTTGTAAAGCAGGACTCCCAAAAAGATTTACAGGACTGCCTTTGGACCCTTAACAAGCCCAAATATAGATATTGTTCATTCTAATCTGTAGATAGTACAATATTTTTACAGGGACCCTTTGGTTAAATTCTGTGATTATTACTGCCAACTACCAGAAAGAGGATTTTGCAAAGATGAAAGCAAGTGTCTTTCTAGTGTCTGTCTGTGTGCAGCTTCAGTACACATTTTAGTACAGGAAGGAATCAGTGGTGCATTGAGCGTATGAGACCGCATTATACACATGGGAGACCTGCAAGTGTGAAACCAGCACTGTTTCCGCTAAACACAGAGGAGCTGTGCTATTACTCAGCAGCCTCTCAGCACAATGTGGACAGGAGCAGCTGCAGACTTCTATTTCCTGAAAGTTCAAATTGTAAATTGGTCATTGGATTGTGTAGTGTGTACCTCCAGGTAATGGCATGCATTTTAATTTATTTCCAGAGCCCCTGGAGGCACTAAAACCCATGGTGCCCTTTTAAGCAAACTGCAGCCAGGATTTTGCATGGTTATGCTGCTACCTGCCAGACTTGCTTTCCCATTGAATACTGAAATATAAGCAAAGTTTTTGGCCTTGCAGAAGCTTTACCCATAATGTGCACAACATATTTGCACATTAGGGCATATTTACCTTATAAAATACCCACCTCCAGCACAGTCTCCACAATCCACAATCTCCCTTGTTGCTCCATTTCCATCTTCTGTCTGTCTTCTTCTGGGTCCAGGAGTTTTTGGTTGCCTTGATTGGTTGGGATGATGTAACTCCCACTCATTCCAGGATTGTACAGTACACTGAGCAGCGTATGCATGGCAGACAGTGTACCATTCGTAAAAAAAAAAAAGAAATCTAGCAAGCAAGGGGGGAGAACATGCAGAGTCTCTTCTACCATAACTATCAATTTGCTAATAGCATTTTACACTGCAAGTTTAGTTTCAATTTACATATTATGGGTAGGCTTATTGGCCAATACAAGGGGAGAGCCACTGTGTCTGTTTGCAATTTGCATAATAGAGTGCCCTGGATTTTGAGCATTCTTCAATGGCACCTAAGCCCACACACCACCTTCCAATTTTATAGCATTCCACTGGGCCCTAGTCAGTATATGCTCATTTCTATTATCCTGACCACCACAATATAACCTTTGTGCTTTACCTGCTACATGCTATTACTCAGTCAGAGCACAGAGCATATTCTGCACTAGAGAAGTTCCTCAATCTCAGCTGCACGTTCCAATATTGTATCCCTTGGCTACATGGTCAACCATATGGTCATTGTACAGCAGAGCCTCCCTTTTCTCTGATGATCATTTAGTACCCAAAACCATAGTTCTGTGACATGTAACTGGTTCCACTGGTATTGGAAACATAATGGGAATTATTGTCAGTGGTGCTGGTGATGTCAATGGAGTGAATCATTTATATGATGTAGTGAATGGGACCTGACTTCAAAGAAGGTTAAGGTGTACGTAATGCATAGCAAAAACTTTTTTTCAAGTTTTGAATAAGGTAGGGAAAGGTCAAACTCTTGCACATTTTATTATTCCAGCCTGTGTCCCTGCTGTGTAGATTTACCCTCTTTATTGGTCTTGGTGACCACTGTCACAGAGGCAGAATGAGAAGGGAAATCCAAAATTACAGAGTTCCCACTGTAATAAGAGCACAGATTTGCTCTCTCTGCTGCCCCAATGCTAGGTTCCTCAATACGCTGCCTCTGACACCGTCGTGGTTTTCGGGGTCCCAGGGACCACTGCAATCACTTCAGAATGGAGAGCGGCGAGCAGAGTGTTCTCCGCTCTGCTCCGTGTAAACAGTGAGAGGAGAGAGCTGCACTCGCAGCCTTCTCCTCTTAGCTGTTCAAGGATAGCCAGCACAGTGCTGTGCTAGAACTCCTGTATTGGAGGGGACAGGTTCAATAAAGAGAACCCTTCACCTCCAAATGCTACCACACAGGGGATGTGAAGAAAAAAAAATCTAAAACCCTGACGTCCCCGTTATCTGGTTGCCATTCTCCATGGGGAGGGGGGTGTTTGGCAGGGAGGGGGGCGCATTGAGGAACCCGGCCTTGGGGCAGCAAGGTAAATCTGATCCTGCCAGTCATGAGAGAAATATGGGGCCAGCCATTGCTAACCTCCTTATGAGAATGCTAGTTGACCTGGCATGACCTAGCTTATGTTGACTCATTATCTTTTATATACCAGGAACATGTGTACAAAGTCAGAGAATAGTCAAAAGTCTTTATCTGCATAATTGTCCAGGGACAGTGACTATTAAAGCAAGTGAGTGAGCATGTCAGCCAAGCCACAAGTGTTTTTAAAAGGAGAGCTTACTTTTATAAGTAAATAAAACAATGATCGTGAGAAAAAAAAAGTTAGCATCCTCTAAACAAAACTTATTCTACTTTTAAACTAAACTTGAGCATGTGGTGGAAGGTATGATAAAAAAAAATAGTGCTTGAGGTATGCTGGGTATTATTCTCCCAAAATAGTGAACGACCAAACCCTAAAAGAAAGAGGAAGAACCTACTTGAAAAAGAGGAAGTGTAACTAGGGCACCTGTTACAGGATGTAACTTCTAACTCCTCCCACGTATCTTCCCAATAAAGTGATTTTGAATCAGAATTAGTGTGGGGACTCAGAGAGAAATAGGTGTTAACTTGTCTACAGGCCTTGTGGGCAATATGTTTCTGAAAGTCTGCTTCACCCTCAATCAGAATGCAGGGCAGATTTATAAATTATATAAATAGTCTGAATGACTAACAATAATTATTAATGATAACTCAGAGCAACACATTCTGGTCCTAAAACTATGGCAATTAGACAACAGCAACTTCTGTCTTGGATGCACCACATCCTGGTGTCCCTCTGATCTATAGAAAGGCATCCATGGTGCAGCTAGAAAGCTTCAGCTTTCTAGCTGTAAAGTATCCATTTGCTTACAAAATGCCCTTATTTTGGGGTTACTGGAGTGGTATGTAGACTTAAAAAAAAGTCACAGTTGGGCTTATGCAAGAATCCAATTATGGAGGCCTAAATTATTATACATTATAGGGTTAATTTACTAAAGGCAAATAGGACACTCACTTTGCAAGGGAATTTTCACTTAGCTTAGTGAATCAGGTGAAGCTCTGCTGACGTCCATCATCCATTCATGTGCAAGCAAAAATACTGTTTTTAAAAAAAATGTTCTTGTACTTGATTAGATATTCTTTGCAAAGTAAATTTTAACCACATTCGCTGAGTTAAGAGAAAATTCCCTTTGCAAAAGTAAATTTCCTTTTAGTAAATCAACCCCAATATGTGCAGACTTCCTTTGAAAGATTTGCCCCAAAGTGAAACTTTGACCGGAATTAAAAAACTTGCAAGCAGGAAGGATTTCTAATGCACAATGCACGTGCGATGTCAATCCTGAAATACGGGCTTCTTACCTTTCTTCTAGCAAACTGCTGTGGTGTACAGGACGCCAGGAATGGGTCCTGGATGGACGGTATATCCCTCCCTTGTTTAGGTGGTGGTCCCGTTAAGGTCACCTTGTATTCAGGGTTCTCGCCAAGCAGGGTGAGGGGCTCCGGGTCGGACTTGTAAGGGAAACTGCTAGGCAGTCTTCCCAGAGTTGTTAATTATACATGGGTCCTGGAATCCAGAGGCTCAGAGAGATTTTTGGGTGGGACAGAGCCTCTATCTATGAATATTACAGTGGCCATACACCTTACAATTATCGTTCCATTGCTTTCATCCTGTCACTGAACCGTCGTCCATGTTCCGCTCGAAACCCCCATTATGCAAAGACAAATGTGGATTTCAATTATCGTTAGTTATTAATACTAGCTGACCGAATTTCGTCGATCAACAGAACGGATTTTCATTGGCACATGTGCAGTGTTCATGGTACAATTCTTTTCGTATGAAAACGCCACTAATCCTACAATTTCTGTACCAGTCGAAAAAAGTTTTCTGGCCTGACCAATCGGGGGAATTCAGCCACTTGTACAGTAATTCTGATCATTCACTTCCCATGAACTGGCCGATTATCGTACGAAAACCCAATCTCGTTCGTTTTTCGAATGATAATTGCAAGGTGTATGGGCACCTTTCGAATGAACTTTGAGCTACCCATGCACAGCTCAGTGTACATTCTCAGAATACCTTGGTGCCAGGATGAATGAACTCCTGTGTGTAATGCGCAGAAGTTACATCATTACAATCTCTGGAACTCTTTACCCCAACCTGTCCGTCTATCTCCCACCTTGACTACCTTTAGGCGTTCCCTAAAGACTCATCTCTTCAGGGAAGCTTATCCCACCTCAACCTAACCACTGAACCATCACATTCTAAAACAATTCATCCTCACACAGCTACCTCCTTATGTATTACTTCTCCCTCCTTTTTAGATTGTAAGCCCTCAGGGGCAGGGCCCTCCTTACCATCTTGTCTTGAATTGTATTGTGATTGTAATGTCTTCCTTATATTGTAAAGCGCTGTGCAAACTGTTGGCGCTATATAAATCCTGTATTATAATAATAATAATAATCAAGATGGCTGAAGACCCAAAACCCAGTAAAAGTCGGGGAGAAGATATTGGCTCTCTGACGATGCATCACTGGAGGGGAGGTGAGTATTGGAGGGTTTAGTTCTTCTTTAATTTATGGATTATTTAGTAGGACTCTAAGCCTTGGGAGTTAGAGGTAAGGTCAACTCCGGCCCCCCAGCTGTGCTTTATCTACAAATCCCAACATGACTCTGGAAGTCATGCCTGTAACTGTCAGTCTAGCAATGCCTCATGGGACTTGTAGTTGCCCACCCCTGGGTAAGAGGTAACCCGAAGTCTGGCAGTTGCAACTGTGTCTCCTGAGTGAACACAGCTCTGTAGTTAAAACAGACTCCACCACCCATATATAAAAAAAATCCCATGTATAAGCCCAGCGATGTCACTGGTTTCTACAGGACACAGCCTGATGCCGAGGTGGAAGGTTAGTATATTTTTCATCTTGAGCTTTTTTTAATATATGTTTAATTCTGTTTTTTTTTACATGGGGTGATAGGGATCTAAATCTAAAAGTTAAGCAGATCCTATAGTGTCATGCAAGGTCTGCTTCAGAGAATATAACCAATACTGATATGAAACTATTATGGTTATATATATATATATATATATATATATATATACAAATATAGGAAAGGGGAAGCAGAGGAATATGGAGGTAAAAAGCAATATTGAGAGCTATGCAGTCTGATGGGAAGAACATTGCTCTGAAATGTGAAATTTACCTAAGCTTTCTATCTTTTTTGTTTAAGAATTTGAACGGACGCACTACCCCGATGTCTTTGCCAGGGAAAGATTAGCAGCAAAGATCGACCTGCCTGAAGCTCGCATCCAGGTGAGGCTAATATTCATTCTTGTGAGTGGTACAGAACACAAGTAAAATCTATACATACACAGGGCTACATGAGCCTTTCTATCTCTATATCTAGTGCTATCACTATCTCTATCTCTCTACTGCTTACTGGCGCTGCTAATGATATGATGGGCAAGAAATAGTTAAATAACTTACTGGCTTACTGTGGAATTCTAGACATATTAAGCCATTTGGGGGGCTATTTATGTATGTAATATGCACGCATGTTTTTTTACTAGAGCTTAAATGGACTGCGTAGTGTTTGGTATATATTATCTTTCTTTATTTTTTTATGTGTAGAACTTAAAAAGAAAAAGAAATGTTGTGAAGACAGGGGAAAATTGCATATGTATATAACATATTTCAATTTCCAGCCACTAGGTGAAACTCTTGGCTCCTTTTCATGTGTATACCAGGCTTACAGTAGAACTATTGCCTCCCATTAAAAAAAAAAAAATATGTGTTGCAATGCTTAATTATAAGTGCATCTGCACTTACAGTTTTCTCCTAGTCCAACTGCAAAGTCCCTCAAGTACCTGTTGATGCTGCCAGTGACGTCCATCTAATGAAGCTTCATGACATGGGGTGGCAACAATGCTGCACTTCTCCTAAATTCAGAGCAGAGTTGCCATTCTCATGTAGGCTGG